ATGATTTCTGAAGGATCATGTGACACTGAAGACTGGATTAATGGTGGCTGAAAACTCAGCTTTGCATTACAGTCATTCATTACATTTTAAAAGACTGAACATTTGATCTAATTATTGCACCCATGATAAGCATCATAGACTTCTTTTAAACCGTAAACTGTATGGTAGTGTACAAAAAGTCATTTGAAGTTTATTTTTAAATATTTAGTATTGCATGTGCACAAATGGAGTTTATTAACTTAATCTCGTCATTCAGTAATGGAAAAACATCCTGTATTTCAGCACACTACAGCGGCTGAGTTGCTGTTCCATAAATTAACTAAGATCACGCATACGGGGTGTACATCAAAAAACATCTTTCGCCTCCAGAAAGAAGCACGGCTGTGAAATATGCACATGTGGTGAGTGCCATCGTGTGAGGAAAACAGACTTCAGGCCATGCCATTGTGTTCCAGGTGGTTCCAGTTTCAAGCCTCCCCAGTGTGCTTTCTCAGTGCCATGCAGGGCTGAATGCAGTGTGGGGGATGGACCAGCCCTCCATCTGACATCAGGAGCTCATGTGCTGGTTATGTTAACTCAATGATAGAGTTTATTGAAGATGGGAATCTATTCGACATCCAGCTTGTGCTATTTATGGAAACTCATCCTCATTGGTGTTAAAAAAACGTAAAACTGACTTATGTTGTTCTGCCTGACTCAATAAGCCTTGCATTGTAATTAAATATATAATTATTGTGTTACAACTGTGACCACATAAACGGAACATGAGGGTGTGTAATTGATGACAGAATTGTAATTTTTGTATGAATAATCCCTTTATAACAGTATTGAAAACAATGAATAACTGAAATGAGTGAAAACAATACTAACACTTCCTGGTTTAGAAAGAAATGTTTCCATTATTTGTCAAAAATGTTCTCATCATTTGTCCTTTAAATAATCCAAATTACAAATTTGGTATGACTGTTGTCACTTGACTTTCTAAAAGATCAAAAATCACCATCAGGATCTATTAAATGAAAGTCAGTGCATGAGTTTAAATGACTTCATCTAATAACCCTGAGGACAGAACCCACAATCATGTCAAGCTTCCACATTTTTCCCAGAAGGACAGTCTCTTTAGCGAGGAAGCTCCTTTGATTTACTGCAAACACATGGCGGAATACTGTGTGCCGTTTTGAAGTCTCTAATTGGCTCCTTGTTTTGGGTCATGGAAACATGATATAAGTGATTCCTTATGGATTGTGCACTGAAAACACAAAACAGAACAATCCCATCATGTGCTTTACATCTAAATCTAAGATGTAATTCATCCATTGTCAAACACCAAATAATTGATCAATTTTCACACTCAGTTTAATTCTATTAGTGGTCTCAGGAAAAAATTAACATCATGTTTTACAAAAATAAATTGCAGAGCTCACAAAAAGCCTTTTATTCAGATGCATTAAGGTGCATCTTGGGAATTTAACATGTAATCTATTGTTATATCTGTTCTGTGTTTATAACTAACTAGAATCTATCAATTGTCACTTTCAATATTTATTAGTATTGCACAGTTCTCTCTAAACAATATCCTGTGCATTTAAATGCTAGACTTGCTTGTGGTCTGCATGTGAGAGTTTTGAGAATGGCTGTTATGGACTGGCACATCAAGGTGTGGTGAATGCAAAAACTGCACTACGCCCAGGAGACTGTGCATCAAGACTGTCACCTAAACCACAAATGCTTCCCTTGCAGAGCCCACATAACCGTCTTGACTAAGACCTGTCAACTGTTTTTTTTTTTTTTAAATAAAAAACATGAAACTGAGCATTGTTTAAGACTGTGAAGTTTGCAGCAAGTCTATTTTGAAGTCCATGACCATTGCTTAGTGAGAGATCTCTTCCAAACAAAATGTATTCCTCTCATTTCTTGTTTAAAGTTATCGGAAATGTGGTTTTCCATACAGTAATTTGACATATGGTTAAAAAACCCCACCTTGTGAACAGGGTCAGAAGATGATTTGTTTAAACCATATGTCAACAGAGTCATCAAAGTTTAGCTATGCATTCCAGCATGTGTGTCAGACAGACAATGATTTATAATCTACTCAAAACTGAAAATAGTTCCTAAAGTGTATTATTACATTCAAGCATTTATGCATTTAGCAGAAGTTTTTATCCAAAGCAACTTACAATAGAGGGACCAAGCAATTCATCACAGAGCCAATAATATTCATAATATACAATGCCAGTGTTAGTATGAAGCTATTTAGCAGTTTTTGTTTTGTTTCTAGATATTTCTAAGCTTTTTTTCTTTATTTCGTTTCAGTAATGTTAGTACTTATTTTAAGTTACCATTTCATACCAGTCACCATTTTAATTTTTTCATCTATGTATATTTTATTTAAATTAATAAAAACAGTTTTAACACTGGTCTTGCATGGTGCATATCAACCAGAAATGGACCTAAAAAAAACTTAGCAGACAAACTATGATTTGCATTGCTTTTGAAACGGCTTCTAACTAGACCATGCTAACTAACCACACCTTGAACCTGGGATATTTGAGCAGAAACTCAATGTCACCACAAGAGGTCACTGTGCAGGCCTGATTAGTTTTTCTGTCTAATAAGGAATGTTTGTAAAGGAATACTGAACTGCTTACTGCACAGTACACACTGCTTTTAATAATAGTAGGCGAAATAGCACACACATGTAACGATAAAAAATTAAATTAGTAATATGTTAAACTGGTACTACATGATTAAATTTTGCATATGGTTTATTCTTCACACTGGAGCTGGAAGCAAGACAACTAATCATATAAAAAGTAAAAGTAATATACTCAATGTTTCAGAGATTGCATGGCTACCTGTTTCCAGATTACTCTTGATTACCCATAGGATCTGTTTTAGTTTAAAACAGTATAAAAATGCAGCCGGATTTCAAAGCATTATCTACAAACATCTGCTGAAGAATTTTGCTGCAGAAAAGGACATGCCCCTAAGGAATTTCCACAGGAAATGGGAAATCAGTGCACAGCTGGGACAAATACCCTTCGGAGAATAAATAAACCCAATTTATGAGCCCTGAATAAATGTGCCATATTAAGGTGCTGCTTGTTCTGAAACAGAACAAACACATTTGTTTTTGATATTTGGTGCCTTAGAATTGCTTTGATAAAAGCCCCTAGGGGGAGACCACTGAAGGAGCAACACAATAGAGAAATCCTTGAGTAAGGAGCACAAAATTAACTTCTGTCTTGGTTTCTAAATGCCCCAATATTACATTAAGGTATAGTTCACCAAAAAAAACAAAAAAATTATAATAATAATAAATCTGTCATTTACTCCTCCTCATGTTGTTTCAAACCTATAAGACATTGGTTAATCTCCAAACCACAAATTGAAATTATATATTTTTCTGTTTCTGTCCCTCCATTAAAAGTCCAGGTAACCAAAACTGAAAAGATCCAAAAAGCTTGTAAAGGCAATCAATATGAATTGAGCAGTTAATCAGAGTCTTTTGACGATTTGTTATCTAAACTCAGTTTTCATTCAAAATATCTTAATTTGTGTTTTGAAGATTAAACTACGGTGGTCGAGAGAGCTCAACACGCTGCCACTTCAGAAAACACTTGCAAATAGAAAAAGCACCAGCAAATTAAGATAACATCATCAGTTTGACAGCACATGTGCTACAAATACTCGCAACACAAACAGATACAAACACGGGCTGCAAATGCGCACAACACAACCAATTAAAGAAACGCGCGTATTTGTTTGTGTTGTGAGCATTTGCAGCGCGTTTCTTTATTTTGTTGTGTTGTGAGCATATGCAGCGCGTGTGTTGTCAAATTGATGAAGATATTTTCTTAATTTTTTCAGGTGGTTTTTCTTTAATTTTTTGGCGCATAATAATCTTAATGTATCACACCACCCAATACGTTGCTGTTGTGCAGTCATGTTAGCTATTATCTTCAAAATGACTTATGAACATAAAAAAAATTAATTATAATTCTTTATAAATTTGAAACTCATCCCTATACCAAATTCCCAGGTTCCAGGGTCCCATCTGGCGCTGCGTCTCCAGCTTGACAGCACATGTGCTACAAATACTCGCAACACAAACAGATACAAACACGGGCTGCAAATGCGCACAACACAACCAATTAAAGAAACGCGCGTATTTGTTTGTGTTGTGAGCATTTGCAGCGCGTTTCTTTATTTTGTTGTGTTGTGAGCATATGCAGCGCGTGTGTTGTCAAATTGATGAAGATATTTTCTTAATTTTTTCAGGTGGTTTTTCTTTAATTTTTTGGCGCATAATAATCTTAATGTATCACACCACCCAATACGTTGCTGTTGTGCAGTCATGTTAGCTATTATCTTCAAAATGACTTATGAACATAAAAAAAAATAATTATAATTCTTTATAAATTTGAAACTCATCCCTATACCAAATTCCCAGGTTCCAGGGTCCCATCTGGCGCTGCGTCTCCAGCACGTGCGTGCCACCCTCAGATTTCTGAGCCAAGTGCATTTTGAATGCAGCTTCCAAAAGACAAAAATAGCCTAATAATATTTTTTATATTTGATACACCTGTGTGATTATATCGTTCAGTGCAGCACAGCATCAGCTGCTTAATCCAAATCTGTGCTGGCTGGCGCTGAGCCAGACGCGTTTTTACAGTGCTGCGCATTATAACCAATCACACACACGATTCTATTGAGTTTATGAATGCAATGACCAATCAGAGACGTTCAGATGAGTCATCGCTGAAACGCGGTGTTTTGCTCTCATCAGAAACAACAGTGCGTAGCCTATGTGCGTACGAATGTAAGTAAGAGATTAATTTCACAGTGTAAAACAGAATTTTGCTGCAGAAAAGGACATGCCCCTAAGGAATTTCCACAGGAAATGGGAAATCAGTGCACAGCTGGGACAAATACCCTTCGGAGAATAAATAAACCCAATTTATGAGCCCTGAATAAATGTGCCATATTAAGGTGCTGCTTGTTCTGAAACAGAACAAACACATTTGTTTTTGATATTTGGTGCCTTAGAATTGCTTTGATAAAAGCCCCTAGGGGGAGACCACTGAAGGAGCAACACAATAGAGAAATCCTTGAGTAAGGAGCACAAAATTAACTTCTGTCTTGGTTTCTAAATGCCCCAATATTACATTAAGGTATAGTTCACCAAAAAAAACAAAAAAATTATAATAATAATAAATCTGTCATTTACTCCTCCTCATGTTGTTTCAAACCTATAAGACATTGGTTAATCTCCAAACCACAAATTGAAATTATATATTTTTCTGTTTCTGTCCCTCCATTAAAAGTCCAGGTAACCAAAACTGAAAAGATCCAAAAAGCTTGTAAAGGCAATCAATATGAATTGAGCAGTTAATCAGAGTCTTTTGACGATTTGTTATCTAAACTCAGTTTTCATTCAAAATATCTTAATTTGTGTTTTGAAGATTAAACTACGGTGGTCGAGAGAGCTCAACACGCTGCCACTTCAGAAAACACTTGCAAATAGAAAAAGCACCAGCAAATTAAGATAACATCATCAGTTTGACAGCACATGTGCTACAAATACTCGCAACACAAACAGATACAAACACGGGCTGCAAATGCGCACAACACAACCAATTAAAGAAACGCGCGTATTTGTTTGTGTTGTGAGCATTTGCAGCGCGTTTCTTTATTTTGTTGTGTTGTGAGCATATGCAGCGCGTGTGTTGTCAAATTGATGAAGATATTTTCTTAATTTTTTCAGGTGGTTTTTCTTTAATTTTTTGGCGCATAATAATCTTAATGTATCACACCACCCAATACGTTGCTGTTGTGCAGTCATGTTAGCTATTATCTTCAAAATGACTTATGAACATAAAAAAAAATAATTATAATTCTTTATAAATTTGAAACTCATCCCTATACCAAATTCCCAGGTTCCAGGGTCCCATCTGGCGCTGCGTCTCCAGCACGTGCGTGCCACCCTCAGATTTCTGAGCCAAGTGCATTTTGAATGCAGCTTCCAAAAGACAAAAATAGCCTAATAATATTTTTTATATTTGATACACCTGTGTGATTATATCGTTCAGTGCAGCACAGCATCAGCTGCTTAATCCAAATCTGTGCTGGCTGGCGCTGAGCCAGACGCGTTTTTACAGTGCTGCGCATTATAACCAATCACACACACGATTCTATTGAGTTTATGAATGCAATGACCAATCAGAGACGTTCAGATGAGTCATCGCTGAAACGCGGTGTTTTGCTCTCATCAGAAACAACAGTGCGTAGCCTATGTGCGTACGAATGTAAGTAAGAGATTAATTTCACAGTGTAAAACAGCTTCAGTGATTTTAATGGGAGTGTCTCTGGCTAGAATGAATGAAAATGTTCTTTTGATAATGGAATTGTTCTTTGCGCTCTGTATAATGAAAGTGTTATTAGTAACTTACACTATTAAATTCACATTAAATACAAAGTCAGTCGTAACAGTAAAAATATTTTATGGCATGACACCCATAGGCTATCTGGTACTTAAGTAAAAAGTCGGGTTTTATGTGTGGTTAATAGATTACACTATTACTAAACCGTGGGGCTAGACAAATGAATTACAATACTCATTCAAAACACGAACAATTTATTCATGTCTAAATTTCAGCATGGAGACCATTAAACAGACATGGCCACATGGGGAGAGCATTGCACCAGGTCTCACACCCCAGCTTTCATCTGGTTGTGGGGTGGCAGAGGTTTCTCCAGGTGGTGACCCACAGTGAGACCAAAATGAGATTCAGCATGTTTCTCCCGGACTTCAGGCTTGAGCTGAAAGCCTTCCTCCTCATCAAAGATGTCTACAGGTGGGAAGGTGAGAGGCGCCTCATTTAGGAGACCTTGAAGACGAGCACACCAGCCTTCCAACAGGCCTTCACGAGCCTCAGAAGAGAGATGTGTGGGTGCCCAGAAGATCTGTGGAGCAAGGACCTGGAAGCCACAATAGTTGAGGACACCATTCTACAAAGGAAACGGTACAGAAGTTGCAGGTTTGTATGAAATACAAACTCAATTAACACTGCATTCCAGGGTTCATTGCTTTGCTCTTTGTAGGGACAACAAATATTTTGCAGATCCAATTATAGGGATTGTCACATGATTAAACATGTACAAATAATCTATGGGAGTTAAGCGGCCATGTACCCTCTGAAATTTTATTCTGAAGGGCCCTTTGAAGTCTGAAGAAAAAAAAAATAAACCACACACTTCCATAATGTACTTGAAGTGCCCTATTTTTGCGCTTATACTAAAAATGATTCTTTAGTACTTAAGTTTAAGATCAACCAAGCGTACTCAACTGTGCTATTTTGGGACGCCATGAATGAACTAAACTGCACTTTTAACATACTATGAATTTAAACAGAATTGGAGTTACCACTTTTAGTACACTTGAACCAATCTTTCATACACTAGTACACTCAAGTAATGACTAAATTAATTTTTTTAATTCAGAGATAGTATGTTACAAGCGCATTTTAGTTAATATTCATGGTGTTCCAAACTAGCAGTTGAATACACCAAGTTCATCTTAAGTTTCTTAAATACTAAAGAATCATTTTTAGTGTATCAAGTACAAAATTAGTGCACGAAAATGGAGCACTTCAAGAACATGGAAGTATACATTTAACCTGGGGTGGCCAGTTTTGACCACTTCGGTTTGGAATAACCCTTTAATATGGTGGCTATGATAGCTCTCATTTCGAAGTACCGTTCAGAAGAGGAATCATCCCATTTGGAACACAGCATAACTTAGACTGACAAAAGTTAGAATAAAGGAATGGAGGGGATTATGTTCTTACTTGAATTGGCCACAGAGTAACATTCATGTCTCCATTGATCCCATTGGAGCTGAACATGGTCTCATGGGAACCAGTAGTGAAGGATAACATGGCTTTCTTGTCCTGACATGAATTAAACTCAAATTATACCAATATTAACAGCCCACTCAAATTGCATTAGAGAGCAGCCAACATTTGGGGTTTATGATGTGCAGGCCTCACCCTGAAGATGCCCTCACTGTAGCGCTTTTCCAAGGTGTATGCAAAACCAAGTGTAAGAACCCGGTCCATCCAGCCTTTCATGATGGCAGGAACAGAGAACCAGTACATGGGAAACTTCGAGAAATTGACAAAAGTGGTCAAAGACTTACAAAGACCCAAAAGGAAAAGAAATATCAAAAAGAAGAATGTCATACCTGAAAAATGACAAGATCTGCTTCTTTTAGTTTCTTGTGCTCATCTACGATATCAGAAGCTAGTCTCCCCTCCTGCCAGGCCAACATGGTCTCATTTCCATAACAGAAATGCTCTGGGTTCTTCACTGCTCCTAAAAAAAAAAAAACCCCAGAAAAATCGTGCAATTACTGCCACTGAGCTCTGATAAGGCACTCGTTCTTGGTTTAATATTTTCTAAACGAACAAAACACTGCCTCCCACACCAGTAATATCCTCCTCTGTAGCCGTGGCCTTGAACTTCATTTCATACAGGTCAGACACAAGCACGTTACAGCCCTGTTTCTTCAGCGCGTCCACAGCAGCATCTTTAACAGCCGCATTGAATGATCCTGCGCTCTGGTGCGCGTAGACGATCAACACTGTCTGTGCGGCTGAAAAAAGAACATTAACCGAAGAGACTAAACAAACTAAATAAAGCGGAACAAAATACATTTGAAATAACAACAAACAAACACGTACCCATTATGTTTGTCACCCACAGGTCTCAAAGCATCCACTAACCACCAACACAACTGTGAACTTGTTTTAAAGTGTCAATCACCTGTGCACAGCTGAATCAATTTACTGATCAATTAGTGCTGGCAGGCCACCCACAAACATTTACGACAAAAATAAATAAATAAATACAATTTCTTCATGGGGTTTCAATTGATTAATTTCTTTTATTTTTTTAAACAATTTTTTACAATAAACTTGCATCGCAGGTTTATGTTTTTACCACTAGATGTCAACATGCACCAGCAACTGAAGCTACAGATGCATCTACATCTATAGAACATGTATGATAAAAATTAAAAAACGAAATTGATTTGGTAAGTCAGTTTAGATAAATACCGGATAAATACTAACTCTTTTTCTTTCTTTACGGCCGGGTAATGTAGCCTATTTGGCAACAATTTTCTGCTGAGAAAATAACAGCTGTTTTGTCTCCTCGTCTTGGTGCAGTTTGTTGACTTTTTAAACGGGCAAGGATGGGAGATTTGCTTGAGACCAGTAGTCTGGTTTATTATATTTCCCCCCAAGCAGGACTTTTTTTTTAATCTTCAAAATGAAATGTAAAAGTTTATTATTATTGCGAAAGATGTGTATGACTTTAAGAAGTGCAAGATACGGTTTCTGTTTTTAGCACCAGACTCCCAAGATTAAAAATAGCGTGCGAGCCCTCAAACTCCCCCAAAAGACGCTCGAGTCTATTCGCGCCCCAATACTGAACTAAAGCAAGAGAAGAAACGTTTTATCCCAGCCGTTATACTGACAATCACGCAGTTACGTCCCAACTTTCTGAGCAATTAAACTCTAGATCATTTACAGCCATTTTGGCAGCTCCTCAGAGGCGACACGTGTGTCATGAAAACGCGTTTGCGCTCTCAGCACCGGTGACTCTTCAGTCTTTCACAGTACAGCACTAGGAAGAGTGCAAAAAAGACGGATGTAACACAATGAACCGAGTAGTGAACGACACGACGTAGCGTTGCTGTTTTTTGGTTAGAGTTAGAAACGTGCTTTCTTTTTCTTATGCCTTTTCTGAAGGAATAATTCTCTTAAGGATCGGTTCTCACGCGTAAAGTAGCGTGTTTCTCAGAAGGATTTATTGAAGGTTACCAATGGGGTCTCAAGGGCCAGGACGTAAAAGAACCCCCAGCAAAAATGGGTTGACTGCTGAGGAAGATGCCCTCAACGTAATCGCAAAAGAGGTAAATTAATCTCCCAAGGGTTAAGCTAATGTAATGATCTAGTTGCAGATGAGCATGGTTCAACTCTAGAGAAAAAACATGACAATCACATGGTTCTACATCCTGAGTTAGTTTATTAAACCAAAGAGCTCTACACAGTTTCACGAGTATCTAATTAACATAACAACAGTCTATCTAAGGTAAAGTCCCTGTTTATGCCCTCATCTGGACCTGCATTATTAATATATTATTCTTTTTTGTACAAGCTGTAGACTCTCTATTTCATTTCCTCTCCTATTCGTAAAGTCTGCTTCCTGTCTGTTTGTTTTTAGTACCTAACTAAAAGTTTCTGGGCTGTGTTGATCAAAGGTGTTATTTTATTGTATCATGGCAGTAGGCTAATGTATTTGAAAGTGCTACCAGTCTCCAACATAGACTGGGTTTGATGTGCTTGAACAGGTGCTGGGTTCATGGTGGAGAATACCTTGATTAGACTGCTTAGGAAGTGTTTTTTTCCCAGTTAGATCTTCAGCAGATGTATATGATGTTTCTTCATTGTACACCCATAGTGAAAAGCAATGACTGTATGTGAAGTGCACGTGTTTTCATAGACAGTTAAACTGTATATTTAGCAAATGTTTCATTCTATTAATAGTAAGTGTCTCTGTTTGACACATCATGCTCAGTGGTTGGCAGGAGAGAGGCCTTCTCACTCTACTGTCAGCATGAACTGCCCTCTCAGTTTAGAGTGTGAAATGCAGTCAGAGAAGCATAGGTATATTTGTGTGTATGCATGTAAACATGTCTCTGTGTTTACATGATTCATTTTTATTTATTTAATGTGTGATTTTAGGCTAACTTCTGAATTACAGTATGAAACACTTGGTATGTGAATGCATAATCAATAAGCTAAAATGTTTAATAAATACCCAAGTGACAGGATGTGACTTTGTGGCTGTTGAATAATCATATGCAAAGTCTTTTTATTCTCATTTTCAACAACAGGACAGGCTAACGATTTTATTTTATTTTTTAATTGAAAGTTGCCTAACTTAATATTTACCCACTTCTAAATGGGCAGCTTGTTTTCTGTAGCACATTGAGTTCACCTTTTGTAAGTGAGCACATGGATAAAGAGAGATTCAGGTGAAACACACCCATGTTATCAAACGTCCATTTAGGAGGCCAAATTCAGTTTCACATTTGCATAATTTTTGCATGAACGCTAAAAGTCTTTTTCTGATCCAACCTGTTTCTCTTGAAATCGAAATCATTTTTGCATACTTTTTTGCATACTCCCATGTGGCTTTGCAAGGGAGCTTTTGCAAATTTAAACAGCTAGGTCACGCAAGGTCTTATTAGAGCTTCTCTCTGAGCAGGTTTAGTTTCAGTTAGAGATACTGTGGTTTTAACCCTTTCAAGCCTGCTGTAAAGTTTGAATGCCTTCACAAATAAGCTACTTATTTATATGTTCCGACTTTTTAGAGCCATTCTGTCTTCTTGCCTGTGTTCCATTGTCCCACCTTAACTTACCTGGTACCTGCATTTGTTGCTGATAGGCTACCATCCAACACTTGCTGGTCTCTGACAAGCTGGTATGTTGGCCCTCATGTGTTCGTTGATTCTGTAATAAGAGCTTTAAAAATAGAAGGCCCACAGAGACCAGCTGTTAGTGCAGCTTCAAGACCAGACATGAAGTTTCAGGGGGGCATTACAATGAGCAGAAGTAGGGAGCAGAGGCATCTGATAATGGATGCTGATGATATCTGCATCAGTAATCCTCAGTGGCTGTGCTTTTCTGGTGCTCTATAATGTAGCTAAGTTGTTAAATGGGAGATAGGGCCACAGTAGAACATGAGTCAGTGAAGGATTTCCTGTAAAACAATTTCAACAATGGCTACTCAACACTTTGATTCAGTGTTCTGTTTGTCCTTCTACTTACACAGATGCACATTGTGGAATCTGGTAAGACAAACTCATGTCACAAATGGATTGCTTTCAGCTGTTATGTGTTTGGTTCATGACCACATTCCCTAAAGTTTTGGCACATACTAAAAAGTTTCATTCAACAGCAATCCTCGTTTGACTAGATAAGGCATTTCATTTTTTTAAAGGCAGGCCAACTCCAGATAAATGTCTATGATGATTCATGTTGATATGTGTTCTTAACACAGTTTGGGTATACATCCCATAACTTGTGTGTTGTGTCACTGTAAATGCTGATTACAATGGCACCAGTAATGGAATTCCAGGCAAAACTGTTTAAGTATACAGTATAAAATGTATGTGAATTCATTCAGTCAGTACCAAAAGTCACAGAAAAGACATTTATAATTTTACAAAAGATTTCTATTACATGTTAATGCTGTTCGTTTAACTTTCAATTCATGAGTCCTGAAACAATTGTCATGGTTTCCATAAAATATTTAGCAGAACAGTTGTTTCTGAAATTGATGATCCCATATCAGAATTATTTGAGTAATGGCTGCTCAAAGCCGAGTAATGACAGCTTTGACATCACAGAAATATTGTTTTATTATAATCTAATACACTTGATAATTTTTTAAAATATACATAGAAAATTGCTCTTTTAATTTATAATAATATTTTACAATATATCTGTTTTTACTGTATTTTTGCTTAAATAAATGCTGCCTTAGTAAACGTAAGAGACTTATTTCAAAACTTTAAAAAAATCAGTAGGCCCTATTTTTTTAAACCATGCATGTCTCTAAAAGATTTTACTTGGAAAAAAATAAGTGTTTCCTGAGAAGTCACACTCTTCTCTGTGATACCCCTGTTCTATGTAAACAGCACAATAAATACATAAATAAATAATAAAGTGTCATTGGAGCTGTGTTTTTCGATGATTTTATCCAGAAAACTAGTCAGTTAGAAACACACTTTGTTTGTGAACCTGCTTACTGTTTTAGGAAGTGATTCATGGAGTAGCTACACTATCAGTCTGTGTGATTGTGTGTTTGAGTCCAACATAAGCAGGACAATGGCTTGTCAAAAGCTCATTAGTCATTATGACTGCCAGTGTTATTTCAAGCAAGACAGTTAATTTAGAGTCTTTAGAGCAATTAACTCACTAGGAAGTTGAGTTGCTGGCACGACAGAACCCTTGACCATGTAAAAGAGGCTTATAATGGGAAAGTGGCCAGCGAGACAGATGCAAGTTGGCAAGTCTAGTAAAGGTGTGTAAATTGTGATTTAGAGAATGACTCAGTTGGTAACTTTACAATGGTTTAAAACAAATGAAGCACTTTTAACTGATGTAAGAGTAGTAATAATTATCAGGAAGTAGCATGGATAGTTCAAGCTGTTAATAGAGTGTCAGCAGGCCAGACTGAACTAGTGTTCCCCATTTTATTGTCCAAAAAAATAAAGAACAGATATAAGTACCGTTAAATAGTTTGGGGTCAGGAAGATTTTGTTGTTTTTGGAGATTATTAATACTTTTATTCAGCAAGGATGCAGATGATCAAAGGTGACAGTAAAGAGTTAAATTTTATTGTCCAAAAAAATAAAGAACAGATATAAGTACCGTTAAATAGTTTGGGGTCAGGAAGATTTTGTTGTTGTTGTTGTTTTTGGAGATTATTAATACTTTTATTCAGCAAGGATGCAGATGATCAAAGGTGACAGTAAAGAGTTAACAAATGCTGTGTTTTGTACTTTCTATTCATCAAAGAACGGTTTCCACAAACATATTAAGCAGTACAACTGTTTTCAACATTGATAATAATAAGAAATGTTTCTTTAGTGCTAAATCATATTAGAATGATTTCTGAAGGATCATGTGACACTAAGACTGGCGTAATGGCTGCTGAAAATTCAGCTTTACCGAATAGATTCCATTTTTAAATATATTAAAATTTAAAAGTTATTTTAAATGATACAAAGGTTTCACAATATTATTGTATATATTTATAATTTTACTGTATTTCATATATATTTATATAATCAAATAAATGTAGCCTTGGTAAGCATAAGAGACTTCTTTCAAAAACATTTAAAAAATCTTACCAACCCCAGACATTTGAATGGTAGTGTGAACTAGCTGTTATTGTACTGTATATTTCTTATTGCTAACAGTCTCAATATTTCAAAATATTATCATAAAGCTGAATTCGCTGGCACTGTCTACAGTGTCATCCAATGACTGAGGTGGTTAAAAACAGATTAGGATACCAGGTTAGAGTCAGAGCCAGACTTTGCTTAGATGATTAATCAGAGCTCAGACTTTGGGTTTCGGGGATGAGAGCTGTCTGACTGTTAATCTTAAACTCGTTGTCATGAGCAATGATTTTATATTTCAGCATTCAGAAAGAAGAGTCCTCCTGATATCAAAATAAATGATCATGTGCCCTCACACATAAATGGTTTTATGAATACCGAGCACAGCAGCACATTGACACATTAACACCTGCTTATCACCGGTCCATGACAATCATAACATTTATCTGCCTCGCTCAGGATTAAGCTCTGAGCAACTTGAGGTTAAACTTGCACTGGACTGTATTCAACAGCACCTTATTCCTGTAAATTTTCTTTGAGCCTTATTGCAGAACTGTTGATACAGGTTGAAGCAAGGCACTGTAACAAACTCAAATAAAAAGTTAGAGAACTTTTTTTCGCGTGCTGACATCTTTCACCAAGAATGGAACCTCTCCATATAAGGACAAGGATTTAGAAAGGGTGTTCTTCCTTTTTCTGATGTCACCAATGGGCCGCTGAAGATTGTCACAATTGCTTTCCTGTTTATTCTCTGCTGTTGGGACACATCCCTTATGAAGGAGTAATGCTGAGTCCATATTTCTAGTGCTCTTGATGCTGATTGATTGGTCAGGATGTTTGTTTGTAAGCCATGGTTACTCTGATAACTGCTTAATCTTCAGTCTTGTGTTTTATGACAAAAACAGAAAAAATGAGCATTTATCGGCCGATACCGATATGGTGGCCGATATATCGTGCATCCCTAAAAATATTGTCATTGTCTGTTTTACATTTTCTGG